GATTGCTACTCCTCTCCTCAGTGGAAGGGCTTATTCTATCTAAGGTCCAACATACAAGTCATTTGACTTAAAAATCTATTTTTTCCGAATACAAGAAAAGATCAAATTTGATTTCTATTATTTCGTGAAGATATGTCTATCAAAATAATAGAAAAATCCATAAAATCATGACTTTGAGTATCAAACATTTGGTTTTTGATATCTATGCATACGAGATTTTTAAGGCAATTAATGGACGAAACTTTCACTTAGAATCTATTATTATTACTAAATTCCATAGAATATTCAAAGAATATGACAGATAGATAAAAAAAGAAATAGAGAAAAAAGATTCAAAAAAAGAAAGAAATGTAAAATAGAAAGTCAAATATAGGATCCTCTAGTAGTTTTTTAGACATACAAATAGTTTTTTAGACATACAAATTCGAAGAATATAGAAAACTCTTTTTTTTTATTTCACGAACAAGATTCAAGAAGAATCTTATTTGATAAAAAGCAGAGTAGTATGTCTGGGATCTGCTGGTAAACGAGAGTAATAAAAGCGATCGATCATTTGTTTATGGAATAGTTCTTTAAAAATTTTATTTCTATGATTTATGAGTCATAAGACAATTTGCGAGTCATGACTTAGGGAAATTTTTTTAGAATATAAAGAAAGAAGCCAATTGATTTGACCTAGATTAGATATCCATCGACAAAAAAATAATTTTTCTATTCGAAACCCAGTAGAAAAGAGGGGGACAGTCTACGAGAAATCATATCATATATAAAATGAAAAAAGCCTCGAAGGTTGCGATCCCTGAAAATACTAGTAGGTGTTCGGAAATGGTTTGAAGTAGTTGAATAGGAGGATCACTATGACTATAGACCAAAGATCAAAATGATTTATTTGATATTATGGATGACTGGTTACGGAGGGACCGTTTTGTTTTTGTGGGTTGGTCCGGTCTATTGCTCTTTCCTTGCGCCTATTTTGCCGTGGGGGGTTGGTTCACAGGTACCACCTTTGTAACTTCATGGTATACTCATGGATTGGCAAGTTCCTATTTGGAAGGTTGTAACTTCTTAACTGCAGCAGTCTCTACTCCTGCTAATAGTTTAGCACACTCTTTGTTGTTACTGTGGGGTCCTGAAGCACAGGGAGATTTTACCCGTTGGTGTCAATTAGGTGGTCTGTGGACTTTTGTTGCTCTTCACGGTGCTTTCGGATTAATAGGTTTTATGTTACGTCAATTTGAACTTGCTCGATCTGTTCAATTGCGGCCTTATAATGCAATCGCATTCTCCGGTCCAATTGCTGTTTTTGTTTCTGTCTTCCTGATTTATCCACTGGGCCAGTCTGGTTGGTTCTTTGCGCCTAGTTTTGGTGTAGCAGCTATATTTCGATTCATTCTCTTTTTCCAAGGGTTTCATAATTGGACATTGAACCCTTTTCATATGATGGGAGTTGCTGGTGTATTGGGCGCTGCCCTACTATGCGCTATTCATGGCGCTACCGTAGAAAATACCTTATTTGAAGATGGTGATGGCGCAAATACATTCCGTGCTTTTAACCCAACCCAAGCAGAAGAGACTTATTCAATGGTTACTGCTAACCGCTTTTGGTCCCAAATCTTTGGGGTTGCTTTTTCCAATAAACGTTGGTTACATTTCTTTATGTTATTTGTACCAGTAACTGGTTTATGGATGAGTGCTCTTGGAGTAGTCGGTCTGGCCCTGAACCTGCGTGCCTATGACTTTGTTTCTCAAGAAATCCGCGCAGCAGAAGATCCTGAATTTGAGACTTTCTACACCAAAAATATTCTCTTAAACGAAGGTATTCGTGCGTGGATGGCGGCTCAAGATCAGCCTCATGAAAACCTTATATTCCCTGAGGAGGTTCTACCACGTGGAAACGCTCTTTAATGGAACTTTAGCTTTAACTGGTCGTGACCAAGAAACTACTGGTTTTGCTTGGTGGGCCGGGAATGCCCGACTTATCAATTTATCCGGTAAACTACTGGGGGCCCATGTAGCCCATGCCGGATTAATAGTATTCTGGGCCGGAGCAATGAACCTATTTGAAGTTGCTCATTTCGTACCCGAGAAGCCCATGTATGAACAAGGCTTAATTTTACTTCCCCATCTAGCTACTCTAGGTTGGGGGGTTGGTCCGGGAGGGGAAGTTATCGACACCTTTCCATACTTTGTGTCTGGAGTACTTCACTTAATTTCCTCTGCAGTATTGGGCTTTGGCGGTATTTATCATGCACTTCTGGGACCTGAGACTCTTGAAGAATCTTTTCCATTCTTTGGTTATGTATGGAAAGATAGAAATAAAATGACTACTATTTTAGGTATTCACTTAATTTTGTTAGGTATAGGGGCTTTTCTTTTAGTATTTAAGGCTTTTTATTTTGGAGGTCTATATGATACCTGGGCTCCAGGAGGGGGAGATGTAAGAAAAATTACCAACTTAACCCTTAGTCCAAGCATTATATTTGGTTATTTACTAAAATCGCCTTTTGGGGGAGAAGGTTGGATTGTTAGTGTAGACGATTTGGAAGATATAATTGGGGGACATGTATGGTTGGGTTCCATTTGTATACTTGGTGGAATCTGGCATATCTTAACCAAACCTTTTGCATGGGCTCGGCGTGCACTAGTATGGTCTGGAGAAGCTTACTTATCTTATAGTTTAGGTGCTTTAGCCGTTTTTGGTTTTATAGCTTGTTGCTTTGTCTGGTTTAATAATACTGCTTATCCTAGTGAGTTTTATGGTCCCACTGGACCGGAAGCTTCTCAAGCTCAAGCATTTACTTTTCTAGTTAGAGACCAACGTCTTGGAGCTAATGTAGGCTCCGCTCAAGGGCCTACCGGTTTAGGTAAATATCTAATGCGTTCTCCGACCGGAGAAGTCATTTTTGGAGGAGAAACTATGCGTTTTTGGGATCTGCGTGCTCCCTGGTTAGAACCTCTAAGAGGTCCTAATGGTTTGGACTTGAGTAGACTGAAAAAAGACATACAGCCTTGGCAAGAACGTCGTTCCGCGGAATATATGACTCATGCTCCTTTAGGTTCTTTAAATTCCGTCGGTGGCGTAGCTACAGAGATTAATGCAGTCAATTATGTATCTCCTAGAAGTTGGTTAGCTACTTCTCATTTTGTTCTAGGATTCTTCCTATTCGTAGGTCATTTATGGCACGCGGGACGAGCTCGCGCAGCTGCCGCAGGATTTGAAAAAGGAATTGATAGAGATTTTGAACCTGTTCTTTCCATGACTCCTCTTAATTGAGACATGAAATCCAATGCTTGACGTAAGAATCACTTTGATTTTAGTATACATATTGGGTTGAGTCGAGCAGATCATATTGAAAAAATATTTTGTTTTTCAATTCATTTATATCTAATCTTTTTTCGGGCTCGGCTATATCACCACTTAGCCGAGCCCAAAAAACCGAGCCAACCTAAATCAAGAATCAATAAAATAAAAAAATCCATTCGCCAAGAAAAAGGAGAGAGGGGGATTCGAACCCTCGATAGTTATTTGTTTCAAACTATACCGGTTTTCAAGACCGGAGCTATCAACCACTCAGCCATCTCTCCAAAAGCTAATTTCTATTTTATCTTTATTTCACTCAAGAGAACATGACCATACGAATTCATACCCTGTTATCTATCTATGAGAAAGATATCTAGTGTGAATCTATTGGTCTAGTTCTCTATCCGTATATATTATATATACATGATCCAGCATGCTCTTTTGTGAAATAAAAAAAACTACCCCTCGATCCATGCCTCAATAAGGGGTGTTATCTAAAATCAATGGATTCATGAAAAAACCCTCCATAATGATAATGTGTTTTTTATTTCTTTTTTGAAAGGGGTCAAAAAAAAGGGGTTGGGGGATCAAATGGTATAGTTCTTTTGTTGGTCAATTAGAAGATTATAAACATGACTATTGCTTTTCAATTAGCTGTTTTTGCATTAATTGTTACTTCATCCATTTTATTAATTAGTGTACCTGTTGTATTTGCTTCTCCTGATGGTTGGTCAAGTAACAAAAATGTTGTATTTTCCGGTACATCATTATGGATTGGATTAGTATTTCTAGTGGGTATTCTTAATTCTCTCATCTCTTGAAACTATTCATTCTAGATCAAAAAACGAAATGACCCCTCCCCCCGAATTCTTTCGGGTTGTGAGGCACATTAAAATGGAATATATAAGACCCCACACAGAAAGAAAACTAAAACATTTTTATTATTAATGGGAGGGGTCAAACTTCTTCTATTGGAAAAAGCTTATATCTTATCCTGAATATGATATATAGTAAAACGAAAATATTCATATTATTTTTTTAATATAGAATATACTAATTTGAATTCTATTCTAGAAAAAAATAAGAATAGAATATTAAGAATTCTTAATAGAAACGAATATTAATAGAAAATCGTATATTTCGAATAGAAAGATATAGATATTCCATAATCTATTATCTATAAAATATATATGGATTTCGACTTTTCTTGATCACTCCTAATAGATATCAAACACCGCTCTGCACAAATCGAATTGATATATCAAGTAAAAAGTACAATATAGAAAGTATAAAGTACAATAAAAAGAAAAACGCGGATATAGTTTAATGGTATAATTTCTCTTTGCCAAGGAGAAGACGCGGGTTCAATTCCCGCTATCCGCCGTTGCTTATGTATTGAATAGTACATTTATCTATCTATTTCAAAAATAGAAAATAGTGAATTCCAATTTTTATCAAAAATGTTGCGGAGACAGGATTTGAACCCGTGACCTCAAGGTTATGAGCCTTGCGAGCTACCAAGTTGCTCTACTCCGCCATAAGAAGAACAAATGACAATGAATGGAAAACAGAGATTGAATGTACCCCTCCACCATATCTGTACAAATAGAATAAACCATTGATACAGAATGGTAAAGGGACCGTCCTATGATCGCGGATCATCAAAATGAATAAAAAAAATGAAGATAATTTTTTATTC